GGCCATCAGGACTTCAGCATCCGATTGCTCTCCATCCAGGCCGTTTCAGCAATTTGGTTATCGATTTACACGGCCTTTTCCGCAGTCGACGTCGGCAAACCACTAGATAATCGTCGCCAGGGGTTATCTCACAAGGTACGCCTAAACAAAAGCCCTTCCATCAAGGACTCCTGTGAAAGTCACCTAGTCTTTCATCGAGTCCATCGCCCTCCGTCACGGCGCTCCTGAAGTTCTTATTAAAGATCGCGGTTTATCGTTCATAACATAACTGCTGCAAGAGATCCTCCATCTCAGCCACACCAACCACCTTTAAGCAACAACGTACCATTCTCAGACCAATGGGCCGACGGAACGCCTAAGCAAGACTATAGTCAACATGGTGTTTATGTACGTCAACGTGGCAAACATGACGGGGGACAAGGGCTTGCCGTATGTCACGTTTGCCTACAACAGCGATTCAAGAGGCCACTGGTTTTACACCATTCCATCTTATGCATGGTCACAAGGTGATCACGATGCTTGACGCCAACCTACCTCGAAAGCCAGATGGCATCAGAAGTCACGACGCACAGGTGGTTGCGAAACGAGTTGAAGTCCACAAGCTCGTTCGAGTCCCGATACAACACCAGGAACGTGCCGACGCTGACTGCTACAACCTTCGTCCTCTAGCCGTTCACATCCAGCCCGGAGACCGGGAGTGGGTGTGGACACCGACTCGTCGCCTTGGCCTCAGTGAGTAGCTTTGAAAGCGCATTTTTGGACCATTCAAAGTCCTTCAACGCTTGGGAGGTCTCAACCACGAAGTGGTGTCCCACGCTACACCCGCATTATCATGACGGCGACCGCGGCACGAAGTGGTTCACGTCGTTCGACTCAAGCGATTCTACCCTCGATGGGACGTTTTTGTGCTCCAATTGGCTCTTTAGTTTACTGTTCCTTTCATTTGCTTTGTTTTGTGTTGTGTTGGACTGGGCGATGCACTCTTCAATTTAGGGGGACTAATGCCGCGAGCGCAACTGGTCACTTGGGCAGTGTGCCCGTGGCCGAACGGTTCTCATGCTTGGCTCCCACGCAAAGAGGTGAGATTCGATGCCTTGCCGTGTATACACATTATTGTTGTTTCTGGAAATGTCGTCTTCTGGTAAAATCGAGAACACTGTTTCTCTTGCGAGGTTAGAATATTCTACATGCTGGCCCTCCTACGCCCATTCTTCCAAAAGCCCACACGAGTACATAAGGCGCTCCGCTTGGCGAGCCGGAGTCAGTGTCGCCCCGACGCTCGATCCTGCTGTTCAGCGCACTTCAATGCCTGCTACGCTAACTCTGTTCTATTTTGTTTTGTGTATAAGCTCGCCCCATTAAAGTTTAGTTTCTCCAGTTAATTCGCCCCCTAATCATATGTTATTCGTGACAATATCAAGGTTATTAAACTACCTTAAATAGCCCAGCGTAAGAATTTGCAAAACTTTGCCGAGATCTACTGGATAATGTCATATACTTTGTTTTATTATTTTAAATCACAGCGGTTTGGTTTTGTTTTATTTACCTTACTAAAATATATCTTGATAGTGTCGAAGAATAGTCCCACTGGAATTGCTTGAGATGTGACAAAATAGCAAGCGGTCAAGCTTGCTTTTTCAAACAGGTGAGAGAAACGGCCGATCTGGTTTCGGCCGCTTGAGTAATAAATAACTTGCAAAAACAAATCAGCCAAGCTTGCCGTTGGTGTTTTCTTTCATTTACAGAATAAACCCAAATTTATATATTTTTGTAAAAATCAGAATATCAAACACAAAACCGTGCCTGAATGAGATTAAAGCAACGAGATATGTAACAGGCTTGAGCTGCGCTAGTTGATTCATAGTTCACTTAAGGCCAGCTGAAATAGAAAAAACATACACATAAAGAAAAGAGGATTAGAAAGCAAAAAAGAGGAAAAGAGAATTGTTCCCTCAAGTGTGGCTTGTAGTAGAGGAGGAGGAAAAAGAAAATCAGTTGTTAGTCCAGCGGTGTGAATGGTCTTTTCTTTATGTGTATGTTTTTCTAGTTCAGCTGGCTTTAAGTGAACAACGAGACATTTTCACACTTAAAGGGCAATATCTTTTGGGCCCAAAGGCTAGGCGAAATGTCACGTATAGTTATCCGAAAAAAATATACTCGACCTAACTTAGTCGGCACCTCAAGAAACACCGTTTTCTGTGCGCACAAATTTTATCTAGGCGCTTTAATTCAACAAATATGCAGCGCCTTCCTGCGGGACAGGTTTTTAACAGAAAATTCCGAGACTAATCAAGGAAAAAGAAAAAGAGCGAAGGACAACAAAACAAAGTCCTGGCTTTTTGTACTGTCTCGGGGTTTCGTCTTAAAATATGTTAGATTTCCACCAGCTAACTTAATATATAACGTTTCGTTCATTGAAACAGTTATCTGTAACATCATGTCGCTTTTAAATTTTTATTTTCTTGATCCGACAAATCAATCGCCAAGCGGCGCTACCTTTCAAGGAGACGTCCTGATCCACCTGGGTCTTGAAATATAGGGCCTGCTGAACACTTATGCCGAGGAAGTAGGTTTTTAATTTACAAAAAAATGACAAGTCAATCCTCAAACTTATTTCTCGCTTCGTGGGGTCGTGTAGAAGAGTAAGTAGAAATTATTTCACCGCGGATGAGAAACCGATATCAGAGAAGACCCAGCTTGTCATTCTTTGACAAATGAGCTGGCTGGGCTAGTTTATTTTGCTTAACAGACGACCAAACTGGGCAGCACTGGTACCACTTAACGCGGGAGAGAGCACGCGGTGAGCGTACAACGTTTACAGGGAACTAGGTGGGTGGAACATCGGTTCCACGACCCACAGAACAGTTTCTCAGCCACACGTATTGGTGTCGCCATTGAGGGTTCAAATTTTAAGCTTCTTCAAGATGATTACAAAGTGTACTCCGACCTAACAAATTAATAACAAAAAGTTACAGATGTTTCGGTACCTATGCAGGTGGTATTTTCAGTATACAACTTCAGCATACTTCGAGTCCTGCTACAACCATCGTGATGCATCGGTGTGCAACACCAACCGTAAACATTTACGGGGACGTGTGTGCTACCTAAGTGGTCGACCTCGCCTCACGTGTGGCAGTGTATACTGATGATGCGACCTGCATAGGTGGCGAAACGTCTGTACCTTTTACAGCGGAGCTGTTAAGGCCTAGTTTCTCCAGGATTGCGTCCCCCGCTAAGAAATGTCGGCTCAAAACTCTGGACAGCCACCGCCATCTATGAGCGACGGCGGCCACCAGACGATCACCTTGCCGGCCCTGCTTATAGATGGTGACAACCTTTCCAACCTTTTCAACCTTTCCACCCTATATTTCACCACAGTGGAAAGGCTGAATTTCTCAAGGCGTCGTCCAGATGTCGTCCTCAAGGTCGTCCTAGAAGTCGTCTTTGAGGTCGTCCTTCAGGTTGTTCGAGAGTTTGTCCTCGAAATCGTACTAGAAGTTATCCTTGAGGTCGTCCTACACGTCGTCCTCGAGGCCATCTTAGAAGGCGTCCTTGAGGTCATCCTAAACATTGTATTCAAAATCGTCCTAGGAGTCGTCTTTGAGGTCATTCTAGACGTCGTCCCTGAGGTTGTTCTAAACGTCGTCCTTGAGGTCGTCTAGATGTCTTTCCTGATGTCGTTCTCAAGGAGTCGTCCTCGAGGTCGTATTAGAAGTTGTCCTTGAGGTCGTCCTAGAAGTCTTCCTCGAGGTCGTCTGACCATAGTACAGCTTCGCTGGTCTTCCTCCTTCACCAGAGTGGAAAGGCTGAATGTTTTTAATCATGAATTCACCCGAAGTTTGGAAAATGTTTCTATCTTCAAGGTGGCCGCCGTGGGGCGTCAGCCTTAAAGTATTACCCGCTAAAAAAAAGCTTCTCTGCTAATGCATTTTATGCTGGGATGATATGCATTAACTGGGCTACAAGATGGAAGTGCGGAAACTCGTACCGACGCAAGTTCAGCCACTCCAGAGGATCGAATTCACTCTCCTCGATCTACTTCTAGACGAAGAAGCAACTTGCAGGCTTGTCCTACTTTCTTGTGGCTTGTACGATCACTGTTTGTTTTGCTGAATGAACGTTTTCAGCTCTTTCCTTGGCAAAAAAAGAACACGCTTTCCAGGGACGACGGATGCCCCTGGTTTCTTTAATCTTTTCCCGAAGCAGCATTCTCGGCGAGAAAGAACGTCTTAAAGCGATCTTTGGTCAGAATCAACTATTTCTTAGCGTAAAGAACACTTCTCTACCCCGAATGGCAGCTTCTATCCAAGGAAGTAGTTTGCTCCCCGAAAATATTCGGTGATGCACCTTCATAGTATCACTCTCTTATTCCCTCTACACTGTGCGGTCGCGCACGTTTATGGGCTACCTTGGCAGAAATGTTGATTTGCACCCGCGGATATCGTAATCTGATCTGCATCCGCTATCCGCCGGACATGATACAATTTAACCCCCTTCCGCCAGTTCAGCACCGTAATTCGCGGATATGCATGGCCCTAGTGATTGGTCATGGTTTACGCGAAACAGCGCACGTCGCAGCATTACCTGACTTTCCACTCAATCACGACGCAAGATCATCAAAATGTCGAAATAGCTAACGCTGTCCCTTCGCATCACTTCGCGTTATCCTCTGCAAAATGTTTTATTTCGTGACTCTTTTTCATATAATCACGTCCTCTGTGGCATTCCCAGAAATCATAAAGTTTATTAATTGTCAACATCATTTGCTGAGTTCCTATAATAGCCCACTTTTTTGTCACATGTTAGAAATCTACAGAACATCAAATGGAGGAAGCTTTATTTTTAATTAGAGCCAAACCACAACCAATGGCTTTGTGCTTTTTGGGTGTTCGTTCAATATTTTATTTTATGGCGATTATACTTTCGGGAATAAATAAAAATACTTATTTTATGGCTATTATACTTTCGGACTTGTTTCAGTCACGCGAAGTTGACTGTGAATGTGTGAATTGTTCCAAACAAGTTTGTTCTGGCCGTTGCATGACAGGTACTTCCACAGCTGTGGAAACGGTAATGGCATCAACCACAGCAGCAACAACAACGACAACCAAAGCGACAACACCATCCACAACAAGAACGAAAACAACAACGACAACCAAAGCGACAACACCATCCACAACAAGAACGAAAACAACAACGACAACCAAAGCGACAACACCATCCACAACAAGAACGACAACAATACCGACAACAAAGGCGACAACCCGAAGCACCACAAGAGCGACCACATCCGCGACAACAAGAACCTCGACGGCAAGAACAACGAGAAGTACAACAATGGTGACAACGAGAAGAACAACAGCGACAACGAAAACAACAACACGTGCGACAACAAAAAGCACGACAACAGCGACAACAAGAACAACAAGAGCGACAACAAGGGCTACAACAACAAAAACAACAACACGTGCGACAACAAGAAGGACAACAACAGCGACAACACGAACAACAAGAGCGACAACAAAGGCGACAACAATGGCAACAACCACGGCGTCTACTACAACGAAACGTAAGTGCCAGGAAATTATGCGCCCCCAGGGGAGGCTTCTCCCAGCTCAGAACTCCGTGGTGGAGCAAATCTCGAGAGTAGGAGCGTTAGCACTTTCGCCAACAACCGAACGAAAAGCAGTGCAAGTTCCGGAACGCGCGAAAGTAATAGCAGTTTATTTTGCAGGTACGCGAGAGTATTTGAAACACATAAATCAAAAATATGATTTCAATAAATGTCTATTTCCATGTTTTTGCGACGAATGTCTGTTAGTAGTTATCTCTCTAAAACATATAGCATTACATTATTTTCACATGCTTTGCATTGACCTGCTTAATAAAAAAATGCGAAAAAGGAACTGATGGGGGCCTTATATAAAAAAAACAAAAAAATAGTGCAATTAAAAAAAAGAATTCAGTAATAAACGGATTCCCCAAAGAAGAAACACTTCATATGTGTGTTGGCGAAAGGCACAATTAGTTAAAAATATAATTAAGTTAAAGGAATACAAAATTACGTTTTTTAAATAAAACATTCGAAGGAGAAGTTGTAAAGGAAGTGGAAAAATTAACTACTCATCCAAGTCCTTCAAGCGATGGGCATGCAACGCGTTCGATCCGCGGCCTAAATCTCATTTGAGTAATAGGGTCAGAATGTCCACCCCGAAAAGGGGCTGAGGGCCAACGCCGGGGGGGGGGGGGGGGGGGGAAGGGGGGGGGGGTTGCAGCGGTGTTGTTCAGCGTTGCAAAGCAGACGACTGCCCCGGCGACACCCTAGTGGTTTTTTAAGCCTTGTGCTTCCTGCTTTATCTAAGGTAATCGTTTTGCCATCTTTAGCGTTCAATGTTATATACGACTACTTTGGGCCAACGTTGATGCTATACGATTTAAAACACTAATTCGTTGGCAGCTTTCATTAAAACGAAAGCAAGAAGACCGTTCTTGCCCTGTCGCTCAACGGCTCAAAAGGCATAAACGATATCTCTTCATACGGCAGTTTTTGCTTTCCTGACGGTTTTTCAAATAACATTATAACAAAATACCTGTAGTTTAAAGGTATTTATCGAAAGAACGGAAGCCCACGTTCGAAGCCTTATTTTTGGCATTTGCTTTGCTCCTGCTGAGGGAAACTTTGTGTAGCCGAAGTGCCCTTTTCAGAAAAGACCTCGCAATTGTAGAACAGTAGCGGTAATGCTATTTCGCTTGATTTGCGTAGGAAAGGGATAATAAGGAAATATATGGACGAACCAATACTCAGCACTAAAGTAAACAGAATAATGCAAAATGCATGAGCAACTTAGATAAACAGAGTTACCTTTAAGCTAGACTGAAATGACGACAAAAGAAAGAAACTATTATTAAAGGCGTATTTGGCGCTCGAGGCGTTGGAACGAGGGGATCACAGCCGTTGGTTATTTGCGGGCAGCGTCCGAGAAAGTGGCGGGCCGCAGGCAGCCCGTGGGCCGCGTGTTTGAGACCCCTGTGTCGAACCATAGGCCATATGGTCGTTTGAGATCTTCCAATGTTTGTCATGAAATGGGTTATTTATGTATAAGGTATGTCGGAGTCCTTTAAGTGTTTTTATAAACACAGTTAAAAATCAAAATCAACTTTTTCGTCGTCTAATTAAGCGATTACCGGCAGATATAAGGGATCTTTTTTTGAAAAGTGGCGCGCACCATCTCGCGGCGCGCGTGAGGCAACAAGGGAAAGTTGACGGTCGCTTCCTTGTTGTCTGCTGCTACTGCACTACTGCTTTCACGAACCAGGTTATCTGCATTCGTATTAGGTTTCTGTGCACGGCAGATGACAAACCTGGCAGCGTCCTGTGCCGCGCTGCGCTGCCCGCATTAGGTGAGAAACCCTTCACCGCAGCGCGTTTTTCCCCTGCCTTTTTTTTTTTTTTTTGTAATGGCCATCATTTTGAATGAGCCATCGTTATTTGCTTAACGTTCCATCGCGCCTGGGCAACGCTCAAGAGCAAGGTACATTACCGCATCCAACGTGTTCTTTCTTTTTTCGTTAAATTTCGCCACACGGACCAGTTGAGCTGTACTCTGTTTCATGCTTTGTATACAACTCTGTCAAAGCTGCTGGCGTGTGAATGGGGTGTGATCTCTTAGATAATTTGCATGCGTTCACGCGCAAACCAAACCATAGGCGAAGCCCCATTCTGGCGTAATAGCTTGGACAGCTTTGTATACTAAGCATGAAACGGAGTATCAACATCCAGCGCTAAAGTTTCGTGAGGCGGGTGGCGCCGCACTAGGGCGACTTTTGGAACCATTGCGGCGGTAGGGATCCATACAAGCGCTACTCCAATAATAGTTTCTCTAGGGGCGTGGGTATTACCGGGTGAGCGGGAAGACTACGATACACGAGCCTTGCAGTCAACTTTGCTATGTCGTCCAATGTTAAAACGGCCCGTTGAAGACGAGAGGAGGGAGGACACCTGTCCACATTTCTTAGTTGTCTCGCGAGAAGGGGAGGATAGCAGCGTGAGTTTCCGCGGTTCGTCAAGTCAAGCGAGTTTCCTTCAATTGAATTTGTGTTCATAATAATATAGTTGCACTTAGCGCTGAAATGTATTATTATTTTTCAATATTAATACTTATTTGGTTTGAGAACTCGCAAAAAGTGGGAATTACATCCACTGGTGAATGAGGAGAGCAGCGTGCTTCGCGGTCTCTTTTCATCGAAAGTGTTTTCTTTTTTTAGACCGCAGCTCTTAGGCGCCAGTCCCCGGCTTGAGCGACGTCGCCGTCGGCTTATCCATGAGGTCACGTCACCCTCATGACGTCACGTGGTCCTCGTGACTTCGCGGGGGTCACGTCTTGTCTGCGACATTTCGTTCAGTAGCCTTACGTGATACCTCTCCGCCAAAAGTAAATAATTAAAAAACCCTGGAGGCAGGAAACTGAAAGACCAGAAAGAAATTAAAAGTTGATAAAGCCCCTTAATGTCTTAAACTCAGCGAGAGTTGTGCCGGTGCAAGATTTAAATTAATAATGGGGTTTTCATCCAGGACGTAAATTGGAACCTCGCGGAGCAAACATTAATGTACATTGGTAGAACAAATACGTACGTTGGTTTTGTACGTTATGGGCGTAAAGCTTCGCTGGATATGCAACGCCGTTTCCACTATACACCACGGTTTTACCCAATCAAAAAAATGTCAACCTGCCAAAACATTTGCTCTGATTCTACATTTTAGAGCCAAGCTCTCGGGCAGCCATTTCGGGCTTGAGCGGCGAGGAGGAGGGGAGGAGGAGGGAGGAGGGAGGTGGAGGAGACAAGAGAGGAGGTTGAAGAAAGGGGAGGAGGAGGAGGTGAAGGAGGAGGAGAGGCAGAGGAAGGGAGGCGGAGGAGAGAGGGGGAGGGGAGGAGGAGTAACAGGCAAGATTAGGAGGTGACGAGGAGGGAGGAAGGGTATACCCGTCCCTCAGTACGCTTCCCTCCTCCTCCGCAAGAGCTGCGCTCTATTTCGGCCTTACAGCGTGTTGTTAACGTCTTGCATTTTCTTTAGCTCTGAAAGACAATTGCTTCTGGTTTGTGCGCTCCTTGGGAGAGGCTATAATCTATCAAACCATTGAACTGCTTCCAAATTCAAATCATGTTATATGTACCCTTCATTTTTTTTTCTCTTAGTGGCGGTGGCATTTCAGCTACAGAGCATGAACGTGCATACACGATTTAGAAAGCGAGCCGTCAGGCTCGATTCCGTTCAGAGAAAGTCCATTAACAAAATGGGCCCTTGTTTTTCTATAATTATGTACCTGCCATTCGAAATAAAATGTTACATTTTAACTTACCGATCTCCGACCCGCTTAGGGGAGATATCCCATTCGATCCGGAGCATAATTGAGTTTCTTATGCTTCTTTCCTTTTAATAATTTTACATTTGCATTACACATTGGTGTATTTCTGCCTTGAGGCTCAAGGTTATGCACTTTTTGATTAAGCTATATCGGAGGGTTTGCGTCGATATATATTGCTTGACAACCCATCAGTTGAACACCCCACGCATTACTAAGGGCAGCCGCTAGCCTCAATCACCTTAGTGAATTTCTAGTAAATTGTTGACCTTTGAAGCTAACTGTTTTTTGGGAACTTTTTGAATTAATTATAATTATATAAATTATGCATCAAATCCAATGGCGCGACATAGACATGTGATCTCATTTTTCCAGTTGTAATTTTAGCGTAAAAACTGAATTGGTGCTGAGGTAGCGTGGCGTCAATTTTGCCGCTAAAGCCAGCGGGGAAACTGGATTCTTGTAAGGGTCATTCGACTTGAAGTAATATGGCATAAATATCGCGCTAAAACTTGCGGGTCGAAAAAACAAAGAACATATCTGAAAGTGACTTGGAGGTCCTAAGAAAGCTAATCGCTTAAGAAGTGGAAGACGAAGGAGCAACTTCTCTCCAAACTTCGATCCATAATCCGGCACCTCGACATGACGGCAGGGGTACGGTGTCGCTGCCTGGAAGATGACGCTTTTGTAATATGCAGTAATCAACATAATCTTTCTTACAATGATTTTTATTTCACTGTTAACTCTTAGACCTTACTATAGGCCTTATCAGTTGGTCGGATAGCAATTTCTCAGTACGTTGTACTGGTTTATTTTTAAATAATTAGTCATAATTGCAGGTATCAAAGCATTCAAAACATGCATTGTTTTTCCTTATTAGTGTGTTGCTTTATTTTTCAGCTTTTAAGCTCCCCAGCAAGCCAATCTTATGCACTCTCAACAAACAAGTTGTCCCGGGACCCCAGGATGGTGTCTGTGACATCATCTTCTTTAACCTGTTGTACGCCCCCGGAAAGGGTACTTTCCTCGACAGGAGCGCCGCTGTATTACAGTGGTTTCTGGGCTACGCCAAGAACCACAGCGTTTCAACGGAATACGGACTAGGGATCGATCATGGGTAGGCTTCAGGAGTCGCTTGGATTCCGTATCGTATATAGATATCGGTGACAGGCCGAAAACATTTGGAGCTGCGTGTTTTAGACGGTGTGCAATTCCTTCTAACCGCACTGCTATGTGTGTGGGTTTTTGTCTGATTTCTGTAGCAATATTTTATTCTATTTCCTGGAGCACTTCGAAGAGCCACTCGCTGCAATCTTTGGAGGAGGCTCTGCGAACCTAACTGAAAGGAGAAAGTCTGCGCAGCCACACTGAGGCTGCTGAAACACCATTCTCAGTGCCGCAGCACAGACCATTTTTTCAGGTCTAAATGTAATGTCAGCCTCGTCCTCCGCCGATCTTCATCGGTAGATTGCAGTGATTGGCTTTTACAGGTCGTTTGCGGGAAAGCAGACACTCGATGTATGGGAAAGAGTATATCAGGAGGTTCCCCGCTTTGAACCTAAACTAATAGGTGCTACCTCTCTAAGGCTTACGTAGAGCAGACTTGATTGGGTTTTGTCATAAGTAGAAGTTTATGCGACATACTTTAAAAAAAAAAAAATATAAATACGATTGTAAGAGGCTTCCTGCACACAGCGAAACTTTGTCAAATAGTTTAACGGTGATAAGGGCCCACATATTAGGGCGCAACTACAACCTTCTCAAAAAGGAGTCACGTTTAGTATGAGCCTGTCGAGAAGTTTTCTTTTTTGGCTAGATATTTAATCCGCTAACTGTAACGTACTGAGGCATACACAAATACGTTTTAATAGCCCAATTAGGCATATACCAGAGTAACTGCATGGTTCAAGAATTAGATGGGTGTCGTTTGTCTGACCGTTAAACGTTTGTTAAAAACGAAAAAAAAAAGATTTAGCGTTTATTAGGAGGAGGTTAGAGTAGGCAGGAGAATCGCCCAAAAAGTGACAGCGTCGTCATGTAGCAGCGTATTTTGATAACATATTTATTGTACGACGTTAACAGTGAACTGTGCTTAGAACGCGACCTTGAAACACGAATTGTTTCACGCGAAGTAACTTCAGTTTTACTTTTGCAGCAAAGAATCCGATGCTTACAGAGACCTGAACACAGCCGCCGGTCAGGACGCGGTCAAGGATTTCTGGAGTTTCAAACTGCGCCACTATGGACTCCTCAACTTCCGGGTGCACGATGCCTTTGTTAGCCACAACATTGCCGAAGACTACGTAAAGCTCCTGAAGGTACTACGCAAGGTGCCACTTCGGATACAGGGTGGAAGTCTTTCCCTAGTCCATAGTGTAAGATATAGCGTTTATTGGTGAGGACACAGCACGGCCGAAAATCCGACACCATCGAGTAGAAAAGTCCCATGGACAAAATGCGCAATAGCAGCGTCCCTAGCAGTTCAGGTGCACTCCGGGAGCCGAAGACGGTCAACGGGCAGTTTCGCTTTCGGTTTCTCCAGACTGTGCATCTGTCCTCTGCTACTCGTCTGCACCAAAATTGCTCATGTCGCGTAGATTGCTCCACACTTACGCGCGATGCAATAGGTACCCCTTTGCTCTGGTCGATACATATCAGACACAGCGAATAACAAAACAATTAAGACTTTTCTGGCATGGGAAGTCAGCGAAAACCCTGCAACTGCGAAGTGAGTACGGCGAACGCCATGCCAGCTCACGACGTGCATTCGATTTTATCCTCGAGAACAGCCACTGACACTAGTACTCCAGTTTTATAAGAAGGTTGTCTCGCCTATCGCAATTTTCAATCAGGCTAATGCGGTACAAGACAAACCTCGCTGTACGAGAATGTGTTGAAGCGCAAACATGCACCTCTTACTAGTCGTTGTGAGGAAATTTGCCACGGAAATAATGAACACACCGTCGCGGCGTTGGTGTGCCTATATCTTTGAATGCGCTGGTCCCTTAGGCATAAGCCTTTTAGTCCCAACACTTCGTTTTTCGTAAAGTTTGCGATTATCGGATAGTTAATCGGCATCTGGTTCTCGTTCGGCGACCTCAGACTGGTAAGAGTCAACCTTGTACTTTTGCTGAGGTGTCACAAACCAAAGCTGTTGTCCGGCAGAGCTTTGGCCTTTTATATTTTATCTCACTGGGTATGGCTCCTAAGAAAATTCCGAGTTGCAATAGCTGCTGCATACTTAAATGCTATCGCAATAATTTTTATGCCAAGCATATTATTGCACAAATTTAAAAAAAAAAAATTCATATATCTAGAAGCTCTGGGCAAAAGTCATCGTTTAAAATACAAAACTTACTGGTTCATGGGGAAGAAAAAAAATAGGCAGATCTACTTAAGACTCCTTTCATGTAGGAATGCGAAAGCATTCTTACACGCAACGTATTCCTACAGGCAGCGCCCGATGCGTTCCTATCGCACACGGCGCTGGGGCGGTGACATCCCGCTCCTCCACTGCGCAAGCCCCGCGAACCTGGCCGACTTCACGGCGGCTTCCGGGACGAAGAATTCCGTTGCTGTTTTTTTTTCTTTGTGTTTCATTTCTGAAGCGCGTCTGCATTGACCTCGAGCGGCCGCACCGGCTTCCGTGACAAAACATCTGATATGATGTGTCGGAGCCACTTCAGGTGCCGTGTTTCGCGGTTACGGTTTTTTAGGTCTCGTTTTTTCGCGATTACAAACGTCGCCAGCTCCGCTTCATGGTACAGTTAATTCTTTTGCATAAAAAGTGGCCGATTGTGTGGCTACTATTTTTGTACCATTGGGCAGGGGGCTATACGGACAAACTTACCAGGCCTTCCGCAGCGGAAGCGTTTCTGGTGGAGCAAAAAAAAGGTGAGTTTCATTTTAAGCTTTAACCTCAATATCTTTTAAAAAAAAAAAAAAAAACGGGCTGATCTCCGGTGTGGCGCAATGGTAACACATCTCGCGCTGGTATTAGCACTAAGTGACCAGACCTTTTGTTTCATCTTTTAACAGGTCAGGGGTGTTGAGTATAGCCTCTTCAAATTGACCCCAGAAAAGATTCCAGCTATGAAGGTCTCCTTCGAACTTTCGGATCTCTAGTCTTAGAGGTTTAATAGCTATCGTCCTTGACCTTAGATTACCTTGGTCCCGATCTTATAATCGTTCCAGAGCATTTGATGCGATGTTAGGCGTGCGCAGGGCATCCAGCTTGAGCGTGGCTCTTGTCCGTAAACGGCAGATTGACACGTGATAAGCCTCTACGCTTTTTATCTTTTCTTCAAGGTGATCAATATCAACCCCATCTTCAATCTCACAGTCAACTGCCTTCAATGCTGCTTCCTTCAGTTTGATGATATTCAAGCTTTCCGTGAGTTCACCCGCGGTTGCATCCGAGGAACCCTGTAAAGCTTGTAACTTGTAACTCCGCAGTCGGTCCATTTTCTGTAGGCTTGGTGTTATCTGGGTTCCCTGCCTGCCAGATGGGGATCTGTCACTCGTTTTCTCGGGCGTCTCCTAGATCCCAGGTTTCGGCACTAGATGTTTGGGATCTGAAGAAAGTACGACCTGACCGACGTGATAGTAGCGGTTCATCAGAAAGAGATCATGGCGGGTTTCTTCTGGGTGTGACCCCGTTCCACACTTCTTCGTCGTCCCGTGTTCATTCTCCGACAACGCCTATTGAATACCTTCCAAGATATACCTACCTTATCTGGTCGTCCTCAATGGCTTCGTCAAATACACTGAGGTCAAGTTGGTGGACTCTTTGCAGCGCAACAGAATTTCGGACTGACCAGCAGTTAAATTTCGAATACGTCTATACAAACTTTAGCTAACATCCCAAGGTCCACACAAGGCTTGGATATGAAGCTGGTTCATGCGAAGCGAGCTTAAATAAACCATTTTGTTGTATGTCTCCTTTTTTGTTAAAAGTATCAGGCGGAATGAAAACGTGCCCATAAATGAGGAGCTTAGGGTGCCTTCATGTGCGCTTCGCATAGAGTGATACCAAATGCCTGTTTCCCTTTCCCACACCCTCGTACACCGTCATTTTGTTTCTCACTGTTTCCCCGTGCGCCGGAAAGTGGCCTTTCTGTCCATCGGTCCTCCCATCCGAGGGGGGAAATGCTAATCCTCCCTCCGTGGGTTCCACAACGCTGCTCCGAACTTGTGAGATAAGGTGCTTGTTTCCGGGAGGGCTATAAGCCCACGGATTATCGCCGAGGACCAAAATGGCTGCGGGTTTGTCGGCGAGTGGTATTACAAAGGGTGGGATCACCCTAGCAAAGTGCACATGAAGGCTCCCTGGAGGAGCTTATCTAATGTGAAAAAAGTATGCAAAGAAGAGTGGTCGTTAATTCTGCACAATTGAAAAACCGTGGCGGAGAAAAAAAGTAATGAAACGCAAGGCTTTAAAATGTTATACATTCAGAGTTTCCATAGTCAGTTCGACTGTGCTTATGCCGCATTTTAATGAACAAGCTCCATGCAGAAGCATTCAACGCTGCTCAGAAGCACGTTCACCCTGTTACTGATTACTTTGTGAATGTTTTCAACGAACATATGTGAAAGTGGCCATTGTTATTGTTATGCTGCCTGCCATTGAACATGACGCGCCAATTCACTGACACCCTTTTCATAAAAAAGCCGGCGTTCATCAAGGCGGTAGAGATGTCCCCTGCTCAGTGAAATGAGAAGATATCCGCAACTGGTACCGGTCAAGGTAAAAAAAGTAATTCGCTACCGAGATGACCTTACGGTGCCGACTGCAATTTTGATCGTTAGCAGTCTTTAACAAGACAGGGTGAGTAGGTCTGTAAACAAAACCAGAATTCCCTGAACAATAAAGAAGGATATTTTCTGGTTTCCTTTTTGCTTCAGATCAATTATGCTAATGCAATTTTCGTTTACGGAAGAACTGTGTAATCACGGTTGACTATATTCAAAGATTGTTTGCTTTTTTTTTCGCTTTTCTTCAGGGTAGAAAAATAAAGACGGTAGTGAAATTGAGAAACCTAGCGTGGGAAATGAAAAACTCCGAAACAAAATAACGATCTTGGAAAGCAGTAAATGCTGAGTGCGAAAAAAAGCTAAGGTATAGCTTGACACGTGATAAGGCTCTACGCTTTTCATCTTTTCTTCAAGGTGATCAATATCGACCCCATCTTCAATCTCACAGTCAACTGCCTCAATGCTGCTCCCTTCGGTTTGAGGATGTTCAAGCTTTCTACATGCTTAAGCATAAGCATGTAGCAAGCTCCATTATCTCTGAGGCAATAAACTTAAATTTTACATCGGCTTTGAATCGCTCAAACACTTCGCCCGTTTCTCCAAATTTGTTCACGAATGTTACAAATTCGGAAAGAACTGCAACTCAGGCTGCTAGAGGAGATAATGGCTTTCAGGGACAATATTCCTCAAAGCACCGTCAGGAGAATTTGTTCGTCCTGGATAACATTCGTGGTCGAATACTTTGACCAGACTCCCGTCTGGCCTTCGCTACAAAGAGTAGACAAGTACAGACCAGACGAATTTAGAAACAAATACCCATAAGTCGCGCAATTCTGGATTGCACATAAGTATTTATTCAAAGCCCCAGCGACCTCAGAACACACAGTGGCACGCTCCCGTCCTATAAGTACCACAGCGCATCAGAGGCTTAATTCGAATCGCACCAAAGGGGTTTGTATGTTTTGTGAGTGACGTAGCACAACGTATAATGTATCACCGCCGACTATCGGAAGAGTATGGTGTCTATGAGGATTTTGAAGCAGGGAGATTTTGTCACGGCCGACAGAGGCTTTGCGATTGCCGAAGACCTGACAAAACTCGGCGCGGAACTAGATGTTCCACCTTTTCTGAACGGCAAACCTCAGCATTCTCTTCAAGAAGAAATTGAGACACGATCAATTGCCAAAGGTCGGGTGCCCGTAGAGTGCGTCATTGCTGAAGTTAAGTAATTTGTCATACTCAGGTTCACTTTCCCGAACTTGATGGTATCGTTGCTGAATCCCATTTGGAAAACGTGCACTTTAAGCTGTGTAATTTTACAAATGATCATCTGTCAGATAGAAGTAGATATTGAACTGTGACACAGAAATCTCGTGGCGCGGCTTATAAATGTCTGACATATTTTTGTCGGTTTCGGTCTTTTTTAAAACCGAATTCGCGTTTCTGTATATAGATATTTGCTTTTTTCAAGTTCGGTTTTTCGGTACTGGGCAGAATTGTTTCGAGAATTAAATCCTTTCTCGAAGTCGCAACGTACCTGCTAGGTATTTCGGAATTTTATTTAAAACAAACGCACATAGAAACATTTCACGGAGTGGAATAGCCAAAGTTATTGCAGAACCGAAAATAAATTGTGACTGTCGCAGACTTGTCAAAGCTGTTTTTTCTTTTTATTATAAACGGCTTCGATGCGATATTTCTGGTCTCCGCTGATTCCCAGAAAGCTAATCTCGGCGTTTGCTTCTCGTGGTTTATAAGTATATGTCGAAAACACGGAACTCTACTTACGATGACCGCTACATAAAATAGTTCAAAGAGTGCCATAATGAGCCTTGAGCTGAAAAAACCTTCAGGAGGCACCACGATGTGTATTGATCTTTGTCATATTTATTTGTGCTAGTGTGTGGTCACTGCCTTTTTGTATTTTTTTTCTTTTTTTTTTTAAGAATGAAAAAAAAAAGATATATCTGAACTTAACACGAACGCACGTGAAATTTTTTTTTAGTTTTCTTTCTTTTTTGGGACGGTACAGAATGAGCATGAAAACTCCTCCGCAAACGAAGAGAAACATCTCAAGCTATTCTAGACAAGCTTCGAGACCTCAGGATACGGTTAAGCATTGATTAAAGCTCACAAACGCACTGTGTAGTCTATAAATACGGTTCCGATTGAAAACTTATAATTACTACGCAACTGCACCAGCTTTCTGTCACTTAAGAGTTGGAGAGGCCTTTAGCATGATCCCTAACAACGTTATGGAAGATTTCTAAATCCCTAAACATTTTCGTCACATACAGAAACTTGCTGAGTGGTATTTTTGTACAATTGGTACGCCTGCACCACTACGAACCACAAAATTACACCAGCGAAAAGCAGATAGGCCATTTGTCCTCGCATCTAGCAGTGAAAATTGTGTACTGGTTTTCGTTTTTCAATGAAGAAAATATCTTAGGCTCTGATGGCTTCTGGTCTGAGTATACTGTGCTGCTTTGCTTCCAGAAGATTTTCTAGTTTAATCGGGCCACACGTTTGGCTTGCCTTATCATACGTAACACCATCGGGAGACGCACCAAGAAACTGTACGTCAGTACTTTACGTATAAGTCCTCTGTAAACACATGCCCATTCTTCAGCGCTTAGTATCGCTCAATAGCTTACTGTTCGTAAGAATACCCTATTTTCATGTACTTCTAGGGAAGCCAGATACATTTTTGGTACACCGTCGCGATGGATTTCAGGGCGATTTTCAGCCCATTTATTTCCCCAAAGTGGGATGCAGCTATTCCTGTGGCCCGCTCGGCATGCCAAAGATCTTTAGAGCGCTGCCCATGTTTTTGAACCTCCATATCTGGTGGGTGCTGCACCGTGATGAAGTGGAGAGGTAAAATACAGGATGATTTGAGGAGAAGCCAGGCTCTTTAAATTGACCGCAAAATTCGGTTTCTTAACCTATCGCGCTACCTCTTTGTGCAGCGTTGCCCACAAATGGTGCACTTCCTTTTCTTTTTTTTTGTAAAATTTGCAAAGAGCGAATTTACCTGAGGAAAAAGTAAAAAAAAAAAAAAGGCTTAGCTCCTATTGAAATGCAGCGACGCCACCGGTCTTCAAACAACACGGCGCCGTTACGCACGGGAGACAAGAGATGGCGCAAGCGGTCGCGATGCCAACTGCCGCCAAAGAACGAGCATACGACGCCGTCTTTCGCAAACAACGAACTGCGTTTTCTTGTTGTTACCGGCCCTGTTTTTGTTTCTGCGACTGTCGCCGCCTGCGGAACGCGCGCCTCTTTTGAGTCGAAGAGATTGTCTGCCAAAGACGCCGGCTCTCGGCGCCGTGTGCTCGTTCGTTGGCGGTGTTCGTTGCGCCACCTCTTGTCTGATGTGCGAAGCCGCGCCGTGTTGTTTGAAGACCGGTGGCGTCGCTGCGTTTCCATAGGAGCTAAGCCTTTTTCTTTCTTTACTTTTTCCTCAGGTAAGTTCGCTCTTTGCAAATAAAAATAAAAGCACACTCTGTGGGCAACGCTGCACAAAGTCGTAGCGCGATAGGTTAAGAAACCGAGTTTTGCGGTTGATTTCAAGAACCTGGCCTCTCCTTGAATCACCCTGTAGATAGCCGGAGCTCCTCCCACAAAACCGCAGTTGTCAACTTCACTGGATGCTGCACCAATAAAATCACGGG